AAATCAATCCAAAATTTTATCAGTTGAAACCACTCCAGCTATTCAAAAAGGACAGTGATATTTTCCCTCGTAGAGATAATTTTGTTATCTCGATCGTTAATTATGCGTCAACAATGCTGTTTTCTCTTTAAGTGGATTTGTTCCAGTCAAAGTAATTTGATATGACACTTTTGAGTACATTGGTTTTTTGGTATTTGTTTGCACTCTTGTTTCTAACAATTTATACTTTTCATTATTACTAGTCATCAGTTTTACTTTGTTTCTGTGTATTGTTTGTACGTGTTTTCTGTCGCAGTCCTATGTTTGATGACTGGACAGTGCCAAAAAGTATTCGATAACTCTCAGGCTGCCGATACCCCTTTGAAATGGCATGCAGTGTGGTGAGTCCAAAGGTTGATACCACAAAGTTTGGACGAATCGGACGCCTGTAGTTTTCAAACGTTTTGGCAAATATAGGTGATTGTGAATACATTAGCAGCCATTTTCGAACATCAATCGCTTGTTATCCGATGTCACAGAAACGGTGACTGTTGCTAAAAGGTATATTAGCATACGTAACCGAGAAATATAGATATCCTGAGACACGGGAAATAAATATCACAATGTATAAAAATTAAAAAAATAAGGCGATAATATATAAAAATCCCAAAAAGGAACAGACTCATAGTCGCAATTAGGTGTACCAGATCACGTCGGTCTCACCAATGAAAATGACACTGGTATTCAATGTTTGACAACGCTTCTACCAGTAACACCATCTAATATAATTCGTAACCACCCAGAGAAATCAAAAGACAGAGTCAAGGAGATCGGAAGAGTGTATTTAGCGATAACCAAAATATCGGAATTCTCTGGTCTAATCTGGCTAGCGATTGCGGTTGATGTTGAGCACGGCGTTACCACACGCGATCTGGTACGGATGTCTGACCGAGCGCCTTCAGCTAGATGAGTCCACTAAAACATATGGTCAGCGTCCAATGTCGAAAACTTACAGAGCTATTTATTTTAGAGATTTATTTACCGCTACAACATCAAACAGTCGCTAAACAAACTGATGTGAAGTTACCTCAAATAAGCTCAGAGTTAATTGACTTACATGAACCAAAGGATGAAGAACGGCTTATAAAGAGGTCTGTTAGAAATAAAAGCTCAAGAAATGAAATTTTTTCTGTGCCTCTCCCTCCAAATAGCAGCGGTCATGGAACGTCTGGAAAACTGAATTGCGCGGTTAATTCTGTTTCTTATAGAAAAAACAAAAATATGACAACTCAAGCCATCGACAGTCATCCAAGATCCTACAATGTGTGTAACGCATCTATGATTGCTACTCCAATGTACATGGGTACAAATCACGTTGATTAGCATCCATAAGATTAATTAGTTATCTGTCTACTTGTGGTAGAAAAAAATGACATGGCATCTATTAGGATTACTGTATCTTCAAACATTAGAGTGATTCGGGATTTGAATATGAGGGTAAGAAGCATTATGCCATGACTAATGGCAGGGGACAAACCATGTGTTCTGCAATTTAGTTATATTTATATTAATAAATATGGGGTTCGTTATGTTCTAGTTCATTTCAGGTATTAGGCTGTCCATAATAAAGTGCCACATTGCTGTGCAGGAGTTCGTGGAATAGTTGGTGAGGCTCTTTAGAGTCTGGTAACAAGGTTATCAACATCTGTCAGTTACCGGAAGCGATTGGCAACTTGTTCCATGATAAGCTATACCGCACCGCAAAGAACTTACAACGCATTTGTTTTTGGTGTTTTGCAGTAAGTAGTGTATATGCGTTGTCTCTTAGTCTGTAGGCTGGGTCATGAATCGTAGTTATGCAGGAAGTTAGAAATGAGAGTCTACATATTGCTTTGTAGAGAAATATTAGATTGATCCTTAGCAGGCGGTGCCACGAAGGTTGTAAAGAAAGGTGCTTACATCTATCTGTGTAATTGAGAGTGGTGTTACATTCTAGCAGTTGGCGTGAGAAGCCTTTTTGAACATCTATTATCTTATCTGTGGTATTCATATTTCAGATGATAAAAGAGCAACATTCAATGGGGGTCGTACACATATTTTGTAGAGTGTAACCTCAGCCTCTGTTGTGAATTTTTTTTCGCCATAAAACCAATTAGCCGTCTACATTTAGAAATAATAGAGGGAGCATATTCTTTAAAGTTCGTGCTTCTTGTGTAATTAATTTCTAGATCGTGTACTGATTTGAGTGTCTGCACTCTACTTTTATTTAAGTAACGTTGTAGTTTATAGGGATGATTTCCAAAATGCTTGATCTGGGAAAATCGATATTCAAATTTTCACGCAGTGAAAAAACCAAACAATGGAAAAAGCAGGAAGGATTAACTTCAATTCATCGAACGGCATGGCTCGGCCTTTCATATGTGGTTATTCTCGTGCTACCCACGCTAAATACATTGGTCTATCTCCAGACTAAAAGTGTCCTCTATCATATATTGCTGATTGTTAGGATTCAATGAGACAGTGTAGACAATGATGTGACTTCCACGTAGGATCTTATAGATGAGGCAGTTGCATCATAGCAAATCCGTTATTAGAGCAGTACTGATAACGAAGTGGACCGTAATACTACAAATGCGTTCGTATTCATTTACAACAATTTTTCTAAGGTTATCAGATTGTATAATTTCACATGACTATAGTGCTCATCATGAATTGTATACCTGAGAACGATTTAAGATTGACTTTTCAGACCAACAGGTTCACGGTCAAATACTTTCTGTTTCTTCACACTTCCGAAGGCTGATAACCATACACTTTCAATTCCTAAAGGACTGTGATAATAGGAATTGTAAAAGGAATGGGTATGTTGTTGAGATATAAAATCGAAAGAATACGATAGTCGAGATCTAAACACAATGGATTTTGGCAAAATACTAGTCTTGATGTTCAGGCAAATGGAAACCCGGTTCGTGTGCAATAAACATTGAATCTCTAGGCATTATCATAGCTAATACGCTACATGACGTGATAAAATCAGTATACTAATAGCCGACGTTACCGGACAAATCTAAGGCATTTCTGATCTTAAATTAGTTCAGTTCAGTCAATGTGCCCTAACAGTAAGAAAAACAGTTGCTACCCCATAAAAGCCCTTTCTCAATCACGAGGACTGAATATTCTAACTCAGTCACGATAGTTGATGGATGTGATTTATTCAGTTCATCAAAGATATGTACATACAAACTTACAGTTTGTCGTTGATTAAAACATGAAACAAAGAAATAATCGCATTGAATTTCATCATATGGATTATGTAAATCTCAGTAAACAAGGGTGGCAAGGTTTTGAAAATTTTTTTGACATACCATTAAAGACACTAATCGAATAATAACAGATTCTAAGCTGCAGAAAAGAGTTTTCACTTGGTCTACTTTCATGTAGAATAAAATCTTCGCTTCGCATATTTGTTTTTTGTATTTAAACAGTAGAGTTACTACATACAATGTGTCTCGTAGAAACTCAAGATAAACAGAATAAGTTAATGTATGAAAATGAAACCGTACTGAATAGCAACTGCTTATATAACACGCCTTCAAGATTTCAAAATATTTATGAATTCAAATTATTGCTTACTATTTTAATAACACTTACGATCATGGGATCTGACTTTTAAACACCACATCAGACTAGTACCACTTATTTTTAAACTTAATAACCATTGAAAGTTGATACGTAACAATCAACGTGGAGCTTGTGCATTAGACCATGTTAACATACCATATCAGCACAAGGATGCGGAGTTAACATAGTGAATAGCAGACAATTTAAAAGAAGTGTGAGAAGAATAACATCGAGGAAGACTAAGAATTGAGAATATGATTTAAAAGGACGAGACGTAAACGTAAATCTGAAAGGGTAATAACAGTCAAGATCTGATGGACGACAATTAGTTAGTGTATCTGTGACATTCTAGTCAACCATAAGCCCTGTCACCCAACACTTTCAATCACTGATCACTCAGATCCCAAACAGATAGCTTGCACCTACCACTGAAACATCCACAACATCCGCGTTAATAATCAACCATAACAATATCTGAATAAACGTGGGTAGTTATAAGACAATGTACACAATTTGTTGAAAAAAACCCTTCATATTTGTGCGAAAAATATTAAGCAAACAGGAAACACTTACGCGATAGCGACCACATCCTAGGTTTGATAATAATTTCACCAATTTGTTTTAGTGATCACAACTTACTGATATATCTTCTAGGTATATTTGGCAGTTGTCATTAACTAACTAAAATTATTGTTTAAACCAAAATGAATCAAAATTTCTGTTATTTCAATACTCCTAATTATAAATTCTGTCGTGAAATTTAGAAACTGATTGAAATAACACAATACATCTTAAACAGAAGTATCCAATACTTTGTGAATATAACTCTACAAACTACAGTTAAATAATTGAGGAATTAAAGAGATGTCAGTAAGCTTATTGTAACTAATTTCAACGATATTACAGAACAAAATGTATGGTTATTGATAAAATAGTTTAGGAAACAAACCTACCTACAAGTTTCAAAAAATATCAATATAAAGGTATCAGAAATTCTTTTTTTGTTGTTGTTGAAAAACCAAACAGACCCAACAAACCGTAGGAACTTGAGAAAACGTATTTGTGAAATATGAATTACACACATGAAACAAGTAACAATAAACGCATTTATTGCACTAACAGTTACAAATATGACAAATACATGTTGGTCAAGTTTATTATTATAATTTTAAAAAGATTACAATCTACTACTACTATCATAGAGGATGATAAAAAAAACAGAAAGGAAGAAATGACTAAAACTCATAAGTTGACGTTTAAACAAAATATGGAGAGAATAATCTAAATTGTCTAACACGGTGACAATAATGAGATTGCACATATATATATATATATATATATATATATATATATATATATATATATATATATATATATATATATATATATATATATATAGTTTACTCAATTTTAATCAATTTCCATTTTTTCAATTGACTTGTTTCAGTAGTAGTAATAGTAGTCTGTTCATCGATAGACATTAATTGTAATTCCATCAAATGATATTGTCGAACAGAATTATGATGTGCAATTGTAATTGGTGTAATATTTCTTTTAGAAAGACTTAAATAGGCTTGTGCTTCATCAGTTACACTTAATTGACTTGTAGATTCATCCATAAATATCATATCTGGTTGATAAAAACATACAGCCGCAATTGTTAATCGTTGTAATTCACCGGGTGAATAATTGAATAACTGTCTATTAATGATAAATATGAATAAAAACGGAAAAAAAAGTGAAGAAGAAACAAAATCTATTGATAATAATTGTTTATATTGATGGAAAATAGTTAAGTTAACCAATTATTTAGTTATTAAACATGGATCAGATTTAGCCAAAGTGTATTTTCTGGTTCACATTGTAAAACATTACAGAAGTCAAATAACCTTAAGTATTACAGAACTTGGAAGTGATGTGCATCGGTTCCAGTTTCAACAGTATGTTAACATAACAAGGTGAAACTATCGAGACAAATGTCAGATTAGTAGTGTGATACGTGCTACTTATATTGATGTAAGTAGTATATGACGCGATTTAAAAACTTAATGTCTGGCAGCAGAAGATGGAAAAAGATCAAGAAACGAAGAGTGAGAACACTATGCAATTTGTATGAAATCGCATGAACAATGAAATGGGAGACAATGGATTGATGTTTGCAACAGGAACAGTCAGTTTCATATGATGGATTGATATTTTGTAAATTGACGATTTACTATATAGTTTTCAGATTTTATTGAGATGGTCTGTAATTTTTGTGCCAAATACATCCGATTGTCCCCACCCGTGTTCTGTTCACTACAGAAGCAGTAGTTACATCATCAATGGTAGTAGAAAACGTAGAACTTGTTACATATGCACATCGGTTCAAATTGTTATACCCTATTTAGCACAGATAAAATTACCAAGCGAAATCCCAGAATAGTACAGGTAATGACAGTATCAGTCGTATTAGAAAACATTAGACATCGAAGATACAATTCAACAAAAAATAAATTAGTGAAGTAAAGAGACGGAAAAAGACAATGATAATCGAAAAGAAATAAAGAATGTACTAAATAATAAATATAGGATAATTTAAAACTTAAGATCCAAGTAAAGACAAACAATAAATGGATCTGCATCATTACAAATGATTTTAAATCAGTAGATCATTCAACATCTTTAACCGTTTGGTTACAACAATTGCGCGTAACTGAGTATCGAATAAGTAAGCTTCAAAACGAGAAGAACAAAATGAACAGCAAGGGAATGGATACAATAATAATAATAATGACAGTACGAAGACTGAAGATCCTGAATATGATTCGAAAAAGAATAGAATAAAAAAGAAGGGATTAAATAATACATTAAGTCCTAAAGATATGATTAAAAATGAATAAATTTTCGCTAACTCGACCGATTATAAACTATGACAAATATAATATTTAACAATAGATCATGTTCAGCCTGAAGTGTAGAAACAGTCTACATCCTGAGACAAGGTTCACTTCAACAGTCAATGACTTAATTAGGCGATTTCACGTTTTAGTCTGGTAGTTTTCCTAATCTGCTTCTACATTAGCTAGGATAAAATATCAGAGCACCTAGTGAATAGGCATGTGTAATAAATACTCAAACCATTAAAATTGATAAAGGTTTATAGTAGCATAAGCAGAAGCATACTTAAAGTAGAATTTGCTACTTACCCTCAGTTTGCGGTGACAATTAACCTCAAGTAATAAGTTCCAGGTTGAAATAATCTCTCGCCTAGGTTCAAGAACGAATGAGTTCGCAATCGTTTTGTGAAGGTTTATGTAGTTACATGCAAAAAGCAGTATTAATTGTTTGACGAATATTGGCATATATGTATTTTTCTGAACTTTGAGTACTAGTTATTCATAATTAGCAACTGTGGCTACTAAATAACTTTTAGTCTAAAATCTATCCCTGCCTTACTATAGTAGGCCACTGTGGAGTTCTTGATGAAGTTAACTAGGTTAATCCTTACTATTTGACTGAAAGATACGCTTTACCTATCAGACAAGTTAAATGTTAAGTGGAAGATGCTTATGGAGACACTTACTGGCCAAGATTTGGCTTTACATTTACTTAGGAACGAGGGAGAGTAATGCAATTGTTTGAAATCTTTTTTTATTTTCTAAAGGAGAAAGATATATATTTATGGATGAGTTGTACTTATATTCATGATTTCACTAACCAATAAAAAAGCTTTCTATTCACTCCTATTTTCTTCACTAGAATAGACCTATTAGGAGCTTAAATTTTTAAGCGTATACATCAGTATCAGACTCGTACGACCGTATAACATAACGTTAAACTAATGCATTAAAATGCATTAAAATGAAACAACTTGCATAGCTATTAATCATAATTCACATATCATCAATTACTATTTTTTATCAATATAAGCAAATAAAATCTACATTTTATAATTTTTTCCTACACAAAACAAAAAAAAAAAATGCCCAAACAGATCATTTATCTCGATCAACTTACGAATCAAATTCATACTCGGATTTCTCTGATCTAACAGAACAACCATTATAACAAATATCAGTTAATAATGGAATTCGATATTGATTTTTAGAATAAATACCATCATCAATAATAGTATTATTACCATTATTATTTTCATTGTTATAATATAATTTAAGAATTTGTTTTAATGTATTACATTGTTCTAATTTGATAAGACGAAATTCAACGAGTAAACTTAAGGCTTTTTCGAAAGAATCCAGATTATAATAACAAATTGAACATTTGGAATTTTGTTTTCTTGTAGAATTATGACTAGTTAAGTCTAGTTTTAAAATGAAATAAAATAGAAAACAATGAAAAGAATGATAGACTAGAAGTTAAACCCTTATTTATATACATCAAGAGGTAAGTCAATGTTATAATTTGAGTGAATCATTTTGTAAAGAAATTAATCGAAAAATAATTCGATTAATATTGTTCTCTAGTTGAACATATTCATCAACGAGTATACTGCTTGGCAGTTTGTTCTGTTTTACTATACGGCTGCAAAACATGGTCATTAAGAAGAGTTGAAGATACTCGTAAGCCAATGGTATTTCACCACAGATGCCTTAGAAATATTGCCCGCATCTTCTGGGATCACCAGGTAAATAATCATGAGGTTAGACACATGGTATTGAGGAATGATGGTAATCTTCATCGATTGAGATGGTTGGGCCACGTGTTACGTATACCTGAACATTGTTTACCACGGAATGCAATGCTAACCGGTGTTCAGGATGGTTGAAAGAAAGTTAGGGGCGACCAAACCAAAACGTGGTATCAGTGCTTGAAGTTATTAACTTCCGGTCTGAGCTGTGTTGGTAGATGCAGACTACCTGGTTGGGGTCCGCGTGACTATCGTAACCAATGGTTGGAGACTCTTGGTGACATGGCTCAGAATCGATCACAATGGCGTAGGTGTATACACTCTCTATCTTCCCTTAAACTATGAGATTAAAATCGCTTCATATTATTCTACGTACTAATTCTTTCTTCTTATACTATATCCTTATATGCAATCTTTCTTTTCTATATTACTGCCATTGAATTAACTACTTCTATGAATCCGGTGTTCATCATGCTGTGCTAATGCGGTAAGGCAACTTGGACCGATGCAATATATACGCCTGGTCCTACGTTGTAGCTGACTGACTGATTGACTATAAGTCTATAAACTCTCCCTAATAATTTATCTTGAATGGGACTGGATAAACAATGACTAACAGTTGAATTCGAAACCCGGATTTCATTTTATTTAGGAACAATTAGCCAGATATATGTGGATTCTTGTATTGCTGTTTACATTTTCTGTTTTAAATGTCAACGAGTTATCCAATGGACTACTGAGTCCAATGTAAAAAACAAGCATAATAAACTTCTATGTCAATAGATTATTCTTAGTGAATCGATTAACTTTTAATACGACCAGTAACTTAAAATGTGACATTTAGTTATCACGGCGAACAACAAGTACAACTATTTAATCATGAAACAAGATGTTTTCAAACTGAATAACAGAGTTATACATAAAACAGTAAATAATGAAAATACAGATATACAATAAGAGAATGCATTTCTTCGACAATTTTAAATTTGAATTGCTAATACTTTTTGTTCAACATTACTTCCGTCTTGATTTAATGTGATAATTACAGTGTGTAGTATTTTTGTTTTCTCGTATGATATTTTATTCTGCATAACATACGATATTCTTGTATTCCATTGACATGAACTATGCTCAGTCTGTGATTTGTTATGACTTTAAGTATTTTTCATATATGTGATTTCATCCTAATTATTAATCAAAATGGGTGTACAATCAATATATAAGTCAGTGTATTTTCGACTAGTCGTCGTCGCCGTCATAGTCGTGTGTGTGTTCTTAATTTTGCATTGTGAGAATTGCAGTGGTTCCTCGTTTTTACAAATGTAAGTAATAAACGATTCCGACAAAATAAACGGCAGCGACCAGATATAACAAGTGGCGTTCATCCCGAAGACATAACAAATATATATTGATCGGATAAAAAACGAAGATTTAATGGCACTATATCAATCCAAATTTGATAATAATGTTTGTGACTACTTAAATTCGATGACACTTTGTTTATCTGTATTTATCAATATGTTTGTCTTAACATTCCTATTCATCACTAACTTTTCAGATTCACTTCACACCATTTATTCATGAAATGACTAATTAGGTAGATGTCTAGTGGTTATAAATATTTATCTCAATTACACAACCCTCAAAATTACTCAATATACACAGAATCGCTTCACTCCACAGGTTCGACATTTTCTCAATTGAATTCGCACCTGTGGTTGTCTAAATGCATTAATACGACTACTTTTTTTATCACCGTATTGTTTGATCACAAGTCGAAATGTGTGTACGATCAAGTAAGTTTGATGTCCAATTTATCCAATGTTCTGTCACTCTCACTTGGTAAAATTTATTTTGTAAGTGGTGTTGGATTTATCTTTTTGCACTGTTGTGTCTATCATTCAGTTGAAGTGAATGTGTTGGTTTGTGATTGACAATGATTTTGAAGGGGTTCAGATTTCTAATGTTGATTTCTGAAATACACAAATACGATCTGTCTGATTTTGGTACATAGGGGTGATTTTGCGACGCTACACAGATTTGATGGATACCTATAGTCAATTTACTGAACCAGTTATTGTTTTCGAATCTACTCACTCTTTCGTTATCTTCCGAATTATTGTGGGCAAGACTTAATACTGCACTTCATTGACTGATCGATCATTTCACATAGAACTATACTTCAGATTTCAGCATTAATCACTTCGTGGTTGACCAAGCGGCAATTTGAAGAAAATATTATATTAGGAGACGATAATAGGAAGTTAATATTTTTCTTGATTTCTCATCAGCTACTTACAAATAAATGGTGTATTGTAGTGTAACTTTGAGGTATATATATAGCTGTTCGGGGATTTGTGGAGATTGTAGTATTTCCACAGTTAAGATCACTGGTCAATCTAAGCTAGGCAGCCATTGAGAACTTAAAAGCACTGGACGACTATTCGATTCTAGTATGGAACTCCTCAGCAGTGCGCACCCACGATCTCACAAGTGGGCTCGAACCCAGAACTTTCGATTTCGCGCGAACACAACCTCTAGACCACTAATTCGATATCCCACGGCGTTAATGTATGACTCATATATATATATATATATATATATATATATATATATATATATATATATATATATATATATATATATATATATATATATATATATATATATATATATATATATATATATATATATGCATGAAAATATGTGAGGTCATATGAAGACAGAAATCACAAACTAAGGAAGGGATAAGGGAGTAAGTTTAGAGAATTGAGTGAAAAAGCCGATGAATGAAAGAATGGCTCTGGAATACATGAAATAATAACGAATTTAGTTAAAATAACAAAATAAACATTAAGTAACTGATGCGAAATCACAAAATATAAGGCATTCATATTATTCTGGTTTTATTCAAATTGGTAAAAGGGATCAGATGCTAGAAATACTATAAAATAATTACGGTTAAAAGAAGTCTACGGCTGAAAATTAATTTTATAGTCACCCAGTGGCACAAAAATTTCTGGACAGTATACTCGCTTTTTGATAGATACGTAAGTGAACATCTTGTATATAAAACGAAGGATAAGCCGACAAAAATTGGATGTCTTCTGTATTTGTATTTGTCAGATGATGAGATTTATTATATAAATAAACTGATCATCATACTCAGCTACTTTGCTCGTTATGCCCAAACTAAGGCATATTCCCAAGTGAGTCTTGATAAGATTTTTTCTTATTCGAAGATTGGAAGTTTAACAAAATTCAAACATTGTTTACGAGACTCTGACAGAATGTACTGGACATGTGTTTAGTCCTCGCTTTTTAAAATATCTCTAAACAACCTAGGATAAGATTTATCATCGAAATTGAACTAATCTGCATAATCCAACTAATAAACATAAACATTATGGGTTCATTACAAGCTAACTTCAGAATCACTAATGAACACAGATTCTACGTTAATAATTACGAACTGAATATTCAGAAGTTATTCTGGGAAATCTTAGCCTGTGTAGCCAGCCATATCTCGACTGAGTCAGCTGTCAATAAGTGGTATTGGGAGATTATTGAGCTGTATTTCGAGTTAATTAAAGTTAGAAATCCAATTCACTAGATCTCGATTCGAAAGTCTATAACTAAAGAGTCTTAGAATAAATCCTGTATAAAGGGTGGGTGGGGGATTACGGCTATCCATCCAGTGGAGAAATTCTGAATCGGGAAAATCAACTGTCTAATGTCCTCAATTTTTAATGAGTTTTAAGCAATTATCACACTGATATGAGAACTATCTTGGATGAATAGAAAACAAAAATCTATTAAAAGCAATTACTTACTTGCTTCAGAATTGTCAATATCAAATGTTGTAGCTCTAGCATCAAGCCCACCAGTAGATTGACTATCGAAAGAATATGCTATATTCAATAATAAATAACACAAATGTAGTTCTCTACGGATATTCGATAATATTAATGAATTTGATGCCATCATGAAACAATGTAAACTTGTTAATAACTTGTAAAATTCATTATTTAATTGAATTGTCATCCATGGTATGTATAATACTTGTGGAATAAAAACAACTCGGAAATTATCCGACTGACAGAAATGATATAATGAATTGATTGCATTATTATTCACTGAATTATTATTCATTAAAGTGAGACCTGGCCATAGACCAGCTAAAACACGAAATAAAGCAGTTTTACCAACACCGCTCGGACCAGTGATAAGTAGGGCTTCATGCTTTTTAATGGTTAAACATAAGTCTATAAAGAGAAAAAATTTAGACAAATTAAAAAAATGTTCATCTACAGTGAAATAGAAGGAAAAAAAGTTAATAAGTATGGTGTACTAGTGGTTGTTATATCCTGATGAGAATAATGCATGGTAACTGTTGGAATCTATTTCTAGACTAAAACTATACGTATATATTTATCGTATAATTGTTAAATAACTAGACAATTCATATTCGTTTTCCTCCTATTATAAGCCTCATTTTGACCTATGAACTATTATTATACGATTTACCATTCTTGAGTTATGCCCAGTCTATCAATTACTATTTCCCACATTCACAGTCACTTTTGGCTAAATCTTGTACAAATGTTAGGCGCTAAATGGAAACTCTCTTTTCATTCATTTCATAGACAATTTTAACAGTCTCACATTCATTTACCTGTGTTCTTAATCAGGTACATTATTTTTACCAACTATCGAAGCTTCCCTCTTTACTATTATTCTAGTCTAGTATTGTCGTCAGCAGGTTCTGTTGTAAAAAGTAATTTTCTTTGTAGTACGCTTAACGAGTGAGAAAGCAATAATCTTGACGATATTGGTTATCTTTTTTGTAATAAGGATAGGTTTTCACGTAAAATCATTCAGTTCAGAATGAAAAGCAATTTCATGTAACATTAACTCTTCCCTTTTCTCAATAGTTTTGATAACTGCCGATTACGATAAAGATGATAAATTTTTGCAATCAAAACTATCTTTGAAATTAATCAATTAATTTTCACGAGATATCATACTGAATAATATGTAGCTGACTTTAAACCTAATTGTTAGACATGTATACTTCAGATTATCCTATTTTTTCGAATTCCCGTTAATATATCACTAATTGTTTTCGACTACTTAAGATTACTATAAGTATTAATACCAAGGTTGAATTTGATAGTTTCAAATAAATTGAGTATTGGGTAGAAAGTTAATAATAAATATACTTTTGCTATATCCCAATGAGTAGAACTACATTAAGTCATGAAACGTTGAAAATACACATTTCTACTCATTGGAATATAACAAAAATACTTCCGCATCATTAGTGGAGGACGACTTGGGTAAGGCTCAAGTGTTCTCAAACTACTTTAGCAATTTATATACCATAGAACCACCCTTCCTGTCAGCGCATACAAATCCCCCCACACATACACTGGATAGCGTGACCATTAAGGAACTTGATGTCTTTGGTCTGCTAAATAAGCTTGACACAGGTAAATTCACGGGGCCCGATGAATTGCATCCTAGGCTACTAAAGGAATTATCTAACTTTGTTGCGAAACCTTTAAGTATACGCCTTAATCTATCCGTAACGCAGGGTCGTTTACCAAAAGACTGGAAGAACGACATAGTAAGTCTTGTCTTCAAAACAGTTACGAAGCATAAACCTGAGAATTACCGACCCATTAGCCTAACTAGTGTGGTTGTTAAAATCTTAGAAAAGATTATTCGGAAGGAGCTGTTTAAGTACCTCGATGAAAACCGGATCCTTTCGGAGAAACAGCATGGTTTCAGAATAGGTTATTCTTGTCTCAATAGCTCAGTCGCTCGTGAAAGCTGGTGCGCTATTAAGGACCAAAAGTTATCTGTAGACATAGCCTACATTGATTTCAAGCAAAGCTTTTGACAAAGTTCCGCACATCCGGCTGTTATATAAGCTGAGAAATGTCGGAATTGGAGGCAGTCTATTGATATGGATAAATAACTTCCTAGTTGGGCGCCAACAAAGAGTATGAGTAAACTCAAAGTTATCTAGCTGGGAAACTGTGCCCAGTGGAGTGCCCCATGGTACAGTTTTGGGGCCAGTGTTATTCCTGTTGTAAGTAAATAACCTTCCTCGTCTACTATCATCATCGGTCTTGCTATATGCTGACTATGTCACGATGTGGAAAGCGATACAAAGTAAGGGTGGTAGCTTGGAACTCCAAAATGACCTGGAGAAATAATCTGCGTGGTCTCAAACCTGGCAGTTGCCGATAAATACTTCCAAGTGTGTTGTGATGCATATCGGTCATCAAGGCACAGATACATACACGATGAATGACACTCAGCTACCTGTTGTCCAGACACACAATGACTTAAAAGTAATTGTTAGCCAAGACTTAAAGACCACTGCACACTGCCGTGCAATAGCCGTCAAAGGCTTTAGAACCCCATGGTCAATACGTAGGGCCTTCAGTCATGTTGACGCTAAAACGTTTTTTGACTTTGTATACAGCATTAATGGGTCCTGAACTTGAGTACTACATACAAGCGGCTAGCATCTGCTTAAAAATAGATAGTGAGCTTCTGGAAAGGGTTCAATGAAGTGCAACTCAGCTGATTTCCGGAATAGCGAGGCCGCCGCATGACGCTCCACTGTCTAAGCTAAACCTATTCCCGGTGTCTTATCGAAGAACTAGAGCGGATTTGATTACAGCTATCAAATTACTTGGTGATGAATTTGCACCAGATATGCCCTCATTTTTTATCTTCCAAAACAGAGGATTTACGAGGACAGTCCAAAAATTTTTATAAGCCCAGAACAAATTACTTGTCAGTTGACTATCGACTTTCCATCGAATCATCAACGAGTGGAATTCATTACCTCAGCACGTGGTTAGGGCTTCATCTATCGACTCTTTCAAAAGGAAGTTGGATCAACTGAGGGACCACCATTGCCAGGACTAACACAGGCCATCAAGCCTCATGTCCTTTCCAAACTAAAACTGAAACTGAGAAAAGTGTGTTATTTGCGTTTACTTAGTAATCTGTTCGAATTTTTTTATTTACTCTTTTCTTTTCTAAATTCAGACAGAGATCTTTTTTTCACAATATCGATTGCATCAAAATATATTCACACGTTGAACTCGAAAATAATAACTATCAAATGTTAGGTGTTGTTTTCAATCCATTGCATATAGTGTATCTGTTTTCCATACTTTTATCGCGAGTATTTAAAGGCGTTAATCAACATTCTTGCTAAAGTGAAGAGAATTTGTCATGAGTAAAACAGTGGTTACAGGTAGTCGACAGGAAATCGTCAACCTAGGTTTCGTGCTATTTGGCACTTGTCAACAAGGTGTACCTGTAATCTTGAGAGAACTGATTCCCTCTGAAAGGTTCAATCCTATATCACCTAGCTTTACGGTCAGAAACGCTACCACTGAGCTATCTAAACCGCTTTTGATTTCATATAGGACTGAGGTTTATTGTTAATTGACTGATCACTGAATAATGGCCAATGCCATGTATATCAATTTTTGCTTAGTGTTGGTCAAATTCTACCGTGAGTGCCAGTACATTAAAATAGAGAATCAAAATTATTAACATACCATGAATTAAAACATTATTAGGATTCAATGGAATACATATTGATACATGATTGATTTGAAAAACAATATCATCCAGTAAACAATTATTATCCCTGTCAATGATATCGTGTATGGGGCTAGGATGAGAAAAAGAAAATAGAAATTTTTAAAACAAATTTATTGTTTTGTGAAAAAGAGATATCCTCAAAATACATTACATGATCTTAGATTTAACTGTGATGGTCTAAGCATTTGATTTTCAAACACCGCCCAAATACATCTATTTCAAATCAGGAATTCAGGTTGTATAACAAGCAATTGCACAAGATGTGAAATTCGTCGTTGAATATTACGATGGTGTGTTAGTTACTCCATTGATATGGTGTTAAATTCAATTACATATAAAAAGATGCAAAAAATATGATATACTGTATCGTGTAAGTTGTATTTACAATGCACTAAATACCCTAATGAACACAACAAAAATGGTTCAAATACCAGCTTAAATTGATGGGAAATTACTCAACATGATTAATTACCTTATACAGAATTTTACGGTACGGATAGATGATGCTTTCCATCAAGAATATCATGTTCCGTATAAAAACTGAAGAAGTACCTTACGTAGAAACTGCCCATAACTTCGACCATACTTTTGTAAGATGGTCGAACTAACTATCAACCAATACAATATTAAATATCCCAAAGTTAAGCGCAATGCAACACAAACGGAAGTCAAATGTATGAACCAAAAAATAGTGAGATACTTTGTATACGCAGATTATGTCAGTTTACATTATTGATTAACCAATGAGAAGTAATCGATATAACCCTCAGTATTGAACGAATTCTAAAGTGAAGGGCACTATTCTAAGTGATTCGATGTTATTTTATGCACTGTTTTGATGTTAGGTTGTGTTGAAGCAAAAGCTAGGATGCACTGAATCTAAATTTCATGACAGTTAGCATACATTAGTGATTGATCAGTTAGTGTAAGTAGATATATCGGTCATACATTGTTTTGGTTGTGGATAGGGTAGCTCAGTTATATACATATACATTTGTTGCATAAACTAATTATTGATCAGCTAATAATTTAAAATATTAAAATAAATACTAGTTATATTTATTACTCAATTGGACACTGGGCATACATAGTATTCCATCTAGAGGGTACCGAGCCTTTCGTATGCCCTGATAGTATTCTCTTGACTTTCGGGTTGCCTGACTTGTCAGGGGCGATGGGAAAGTGAATGACGTTAATACTGTGTCCTAGGTTTAAAGAGGTTTGAATGCTATATGCATGCAATCCGCCTCGTTATTATTCCTATTTGCCCCCCTAGCTGGTATGACCGAGGATGAGGGGAGTCCGCTCTCCCGCTTGAAATCCTTTCACATGGTCACGCGCATACAGTCACCGCAAGGGAAGTCCTACTCACTGCCTTCTCGTGGAGGGGATGTTGTTTACGAAAATGGAAGGGCGAAAAGCGAATGTCTGGAGCTTTAATCGAGTTGATGGAGATCTCCACAACCCCTATACTGGTAAGTATCATGGGCTCACTAATGACTAGCTTTGTGAGGGAATTCTCGGAGTTCTAGTCAGAATCCATGACCAGTTGAGCTAATCCGTGTCAGGTAGAGAGAGGTGTTTACCTCAGTACAATGGAAGAAGGTCGCGCAATTCCGTGGATTGGTTGAGGTTAGACATCAACACCATTGGATACCGGCTCAGTGGTCCAGTAAGTCAAGTGTTCGCGCGCGAGGCTGAAGACCTCGGGTTCGAATCCCGCGAGCGTGATCGTGGATGCGCACTGCTGAGGAGTCCCACAATAGGACGAAACAGCCGTCCAGTGCTCCCAGGTTTTCAATGGTGGTCTAACTTCTATCGGTTCATGACCTCAATCAAAAAGATTGTGGAATAATTGAACAGCTCACACATCTCTACATAAAATAGGCGGTGATGAGTTTAGCGACAACGAAACTAAATGCTTGGTAATTAGACAAGGTAATATATACCAACGAATACTTTTTATTAAACAAAACTTGTTAATAAAACTGATCAACGAAAAAAAGAGAAGAGAACAGGAAATTATCACCCTTTGAATCATACCTGAATATTTTCGATCTAATAAATAACCATTGAGTTTGATAAGATGTGATATAAGCAGCTGGAGTATCATATAAATTAATTTCTCTTAAATATTTGTCCAAGTTTAAAATGCTAATTTTACAAGAGTAAAAAGAAAGAGAAAATGAATAATCATAAAATTATTGGAAATTGATTGTTTAAAAAATAGAGGTAAGATACAACTGAACATCTAATAAACAATAAAATTTTCATTTCATTCATTACAGTGTTTTAAACCGTAGATATTTCCAAAGTTTAAGAATGGTCACCATCACAAATTGTTATTGATTAAAGAATTCTGATTAGAGGGTAAATAGTATTGGAGATTTTATTTTACAACCTAAATAGAGACTATGAATCCAATAAAGAGTGCATACACATAATTTCGTCAAGTCAGAGCTTGTGGTGAACTGCCTTCGAGATCGATAACTTCAAACATTGCTAGTCAGGGCTGTCCATTTTCCTCATTTTTAGTTAACTTTTTCAACGGCATGCTTGCAGAGATACCTCACAACGTCTGAATTTCCAGGAATCGATCTTTAATCAGGAGATTCTCACATATTGACATAGAATACACAAATGACATAGTCCTGTTTCATGAAGACACTGAAAAAAAGTAGGCTTTCAAACGCCTCAAGAAAAAAGTGCTAGAGCTTTTGTGATGTGTTTATATCCATCCAGGTCCAAAACTGTTGCTTCAGAACTGGTTTACATCAACGACTGAACTAATGATAGGGAGTATAGTTGGGCGTGTCAACTACTTATCTTAGAAGTCTCATCAGCCTTTGTGGGTTAGTGTCTGACAAAATCTCAGCATGGATTCACAAAGCTCGGTTGGTCTTGACTAACTGGGATCACTTATGGCATAGGCGAGATATACTTTTACTAACGAAAGGATGAGTTTACTATGCAGCAGTTCGCTCCATTATATTTTATGGCTGTGGAACATAGTCCGTAATGAAAGAGAATATACGTAGGCAGCTAGTATTCGGTTGTAGGTATCTTCGAGGGATTTTTTGGATATTTTAGGACCATCGAGTTACCAATTCTGAGATTAGACACAGGGCATTAGGTAAGGATGGCAAATCGATTGACGAGGTGTTTAATCTTTATCGACTGAGACGATTAAGACATGTATTGTCACTAATACTTTTACTAATTCAACTACTATGGGATCTCCCCTGGAAATTTCATTTCGCTAATCTAGTCAGACAGTCAGTCAGATGTGCTGTTAGAGGTATGAGTGCGGTTATCACTTCCCGGTTGCCCACACCGTGGAAGGGTTCTTCTAGAGGTGCCTGAAAAGGAAATCGGATTAGAGGTAGTCTTAGTGACCTGAGAGCACGACCGCAGTGCCCGAGGGACAACTGCTTGAGGTCAGTCACACACGACCTTTTGTGGGTAATTTTCGTGTTAGCTCCGTAAGTACTGGAACCTTACTGTCGGAGACGGATATCCGTGGGATAAGGTGGGGTGTGCGGTTTTAGGGTCGACCTTTTCTAACCCCACTCCTCCTTGTGGGAAGGCAGCATCGCTGTTATGCTGGTTGTCTGAAGAAAACACCTTACTGTTGTCACACCTCTGTACAGTCAGCAGTACGATTTTGCCTTCGGACCTTTGGTTTGTTGCTTTTAGTCTTACCGCTCTTCAACCGATCTGTCTGGTATGGTAGGACCTTGAGGAACAGTTGTTCCAGCCAGTGTAGCTCGTTTGGTTCATCACGATAAGCAAGCCCGACCACCACGTCAAGGTAGCAACAACGGTCGGGCGCTAAGCTAGTAGGGTATGGTAATTTGAACCGACGTACATATGTTCCAGGTTTTACGTTGTGTATGACAGACTGAGAAGTTAACTAGAACAAAAACTTCTGGAAGATGACTTAAATTTTATACAGCACTTAAATGTCAATGTAATTAAGACCCGACTATCAGACCTAATTCTTGTCTAACATATAAACATTTGCAAAAACTGAGTGTTAATTTCAACATTACATTTTGAAATTGATCAAAATCATAAATATTTATTTTACATACCGATGTCCAACACCAACTAATTGAGCAATATCAGTAGATAAATTAATTAAATTTGTTAATTTATTAATTAAATACAGAAGAAAGAAACTAGTCTAGAATTATTTGTGTGTATTTGAGGAAATAAGGAAAAGAACAAAAAGATACTACTTTAATATTTATTCTCATAGGAAAAAAATTATAACACAAAAATAATCATTATTTTTAGACAATAAGTAGCATGACTAGTGTAGATATGGGCAAAATATAAGTTTAGGTTCTTCTCCCAACTACATCAAACCACATAATAGAATAGATTTGTTTGTGAACTGCATTCATAATTTTGCAGCAAACATTTTCAATACTCAATTGATAGGTACAAATCTTTGCATCTTTAACTTTGAGCCATTCTTCAATTATAAGGGCTAGTGTTAATACTCGACTGTCTAAACTGAAATAGGTAGAGGCGGATTTAAAACTGTCGCTTAGTGGTTGTAATTTGAGTATCGTAACAACTGAGCCACCAAAAATCGAAGTAATATTCATTGAGAAATAATTTTAAAATGAAGGAAAAGTCACTAAGTTGCAATCTTATTTAAATTTAAAACTCATAAACAATGTGCACCCAGTAAACATGGTTAAATCCAGGACATATGTCCAGGTAAACACGGTATGACTGAACTGAAACTTAATGGTGCAAAATTCCAACTTCAACTGACTTTTTATACAGTAATGACATTTTTGAGTTACCGCCTCAATAATTACGTGATTGAGTCCATAGATTAGCGTTTTGTTCCCGAACTCGAGATCTAGATAAATAACTACATATTTGTTGAATTTCAACCTAAATACTTAGTCTTTAGAAATACTTTACAATATTAGATTAATTTTTTGCGTTTCTCGTTGATCTATCTATGGAATTTATCCACCACATATAGACTGTGAAATTTACGACACACCAACTAGACAGAGAAATCAGGAACAAAGGTTTTTTAATCCACCAATCAGTCAACAATAATCAATATATCATTGGAAGTGTTTCTCGTCAGAAAGAAATGTGACAAAATTATCATATGGACCTTTTAGTAACTTGGCTTCATGATTAATGAAGACTTCGGAATTCCACCGAAATAGATCATTAATTTCAAAATTAAACTTTCTTCCCCAAGAACATACTAAAAAATTGAATTAAGTGCTTGAATTGTGTAGCGCAAAATTACTATCCTGGTTTGTTTCCTTTTCTGTCAGATGGTTACTGAGGAAATGGACTACTAGGTCCGTTTCGTAGTGGTTGGCACTCATTAACAAGAATTGATGATAACTTTCTGGAGATTCGAATTTGAATCGTCTAGTGTGGCGGTCAAAGACAACTTTACCACCTAAATATTGTGGTCCCCAATTAGTAAGAAACCAATATTCCGGATTATTTTACCAATTGCCTCAAAATATAGAATATCAGACAAAGGACACAGAAATGCCGATTCATTCAGCTTAATGGCCACATTGCAAAGGTGATCAAATAGAGTTCGATTAGCATTAAGAACTAGATAATAAGACAATCGTCGTTGTTATTTTTATTTACTGGATTTTGCGAACCCGTAATACTATTACCTGTTTACGTTCCCCACTTTCGAACTAACTGAATTCAACAAAACTTATCATTCGATAATACAGAGGCGTGATAGTAAGGTAAGAACATTTATCTACCTTGTCTATACATACATATATAGATAACACACTCAACTAACCACAGCCATAAACCACATACCAGACAAATTCAATGATACCACACAGTAAAATCAACAGGGGATTAACTGTTAGAATTTACAAGATGTGGATTGTCAAGAAAAAAGTTCAAGTAGCAGCATCAGCAACAACGAAAACTAAAATTTGTATACACATAACGGATTATTTGATGCCTATTTACCTGACTAATAAGAACAGTGATTTCAGATGCTGACATTGTTCGAATTGGACCATTGAACAGAATGATTCCAAGAGCGACATAATTTACTACACCACCACAATATGCATTAAGTTGTGTTACATCTGGTCAGAAATATGAATATAAACAACAACAGATAGCATAGAAAAACAAATATGCGCAACATATTCTTTGGTGAATATGTTTAAAGAATTCAACAAGAAACTCCGCTTCAGTCTAGAAGAAGTGTTTTTAGGAACTTTGAAATTACATAGCTTCATTACCATATAATACTGCGGAACTAAATTGATAATCTAGGATTAACAACGAAAAACTAGGACTGGAAATTACTTAGCTTATAGTATCTGATTCGTATATTTATTATATTTTAACAAAACACAAAGCACCAATTACAGTCTTTCTAATTTATTAGTTTGGTTTACTGGCTAAAACAATAGTTGAAGACAATTCTATGTTCAAAACAGATATTATAGGAAATTGCAGGGATGTTACACAAATGAAACAAGACGCTACATACTTTCTGTCTATCATTTTAAACTAAATTTTATCAAACCAATGCTTATGCTTATAAAGTTCAGCCAACCGGCCTGGTGAGCATATCGCTCACATTTCGGTGAAACTGGGTTCTTAAAGCTGGATAGTTTAATCGTCAAGTATTCATCGCCAGCATAAACTCCAGATAGAAGTGCACTATTCAAAATTTTCTACATATAACGAACAGCATATTTGTCCACCCTGAAGATGATTGTTTGTTGTCAACAGTTGTCGAGTTATTATCTGAATGTTTATTTCCATTGTCTTTACCCTTACTGCCTGACTCTTAACCGTTTTATTACTTATGGGTTTTTTGGATTAATTGATAAACTGGACCGATTTCGATAAGTCTACTGGTTGCTGATATACACGGTGCCAAACTCTAAAAATCCCCAGGTCTCTATATCCAAGATTTCAATACCTTCTTAGTCGAACATGCGCCTAGAATTGATTGTGTATTGATATAAGCGGATACTTTGTGGTCAGTCAGTCAGTAACAACATAGAACTTTGTACGTACGTACATCAGTTCGAGTTGCCACACCACGTTAGCACAGAGATGCAGTGGTCGACTCAAATCCCGTAGTGATAGAGGTGGTAAGAGTATAAGCAGTAATCGGAAAGATTAGAGTTTGAAGATGTTATTTAAAGAGTATAATCCAGTGAAATAAATTTGGAAAGGGAAAAAAAAGAGACAAGGAGGATTCAGGATACTTTGTGGTGTTTTACAGCTAATCGGAGTTCATTCAGATGGAGATAAGGAAGGTATGCCAATTTGTCCAATGTAATTTTTATTGCAATCTGTTCAGTTTTTTAATCATTCATAATTTCATCCTCAGATACATCAGCGAGATTCAGGTCAAAGGATTAAAAAATGAAAATAAATATCTATATAATGAAAGGACAAGCATTAACAACATTCAAGTGAACTCAAGGCCGATAAAATAAACAGTTGGTTATATCAAAAACTGTTGCCTAGATAGACAATAAAAACTTCAAGATCAAACTGCCTAGCTTACAGAAGTGATGAATGCATACATATATATAACTTACAAAATACTACAGCATTACGATTAATAAAAACTCGTACAGCATGAAATAACCGATTGAATGAATTCGTTGAAATGGCATTTAATGATTCACTCAAATCAAGAAATGCAGCACTTTCGACTGAGCATCTTAGTTTTGTATGAACAAACCTGAAAATAAAAAGTGAAGAAACAACTGACAGTAAATTACAGAAAGAGAAAGGAGAAAAACCCAAGAAAAAACGTGGCGAAATAAATTTATAATATATTTTGCTTCATTTCGATTTACAAAAACGGCTTTAAGCAAACAAAAAATGGAACAACGAGTAATCAGGTCCTAATCAATAATCTGAGAAACCGGTATATGGGACAATAGCTTTCATCTAGAACTGTAATCTACCAACAAATAACTGCATTGGAGTATGTCAGTGTAGAGCATTGAACAAAAGTCTATACGAGATTCTATTTAATAACTGCTGCAGAAGAATAGAGATTTAACAAAATCGAAAAGATAACAAAACGAGACATGAAGGATAGGGATAGAGAGAGATGATAAAAAACGGAAATAAGTGACACATAACAAAAATTTTCAAGTCCACTAGATAGAAAGTGGTTTAATTCATGCCAGTGTGAATGACTTTTAAACACATCTTCCAGGTTCTGGAGTTAATCACTTTTTGTAACACTGATAAGTGTTTGCATGTAGACCTTCGTACATAATTAAATAATTTCATGGACCATGTACTCGTATGGCCACAGTTAGTTTATTTTTTAAAACAATTCAGTATAAGCCAGAATAGCTCCTCGATGTAGAATCTTGACATGCACATCATATAACTCATCCACTCCAGTTATTGCCTTTTTCAAAAACAATCGACTGAATTAGCTTTTTTATAGAAATTCAGAGAAAAATATGACTGCTGAAATCCAGCCTTAGATTTAAGACAGTCTTGAGGAGTTCCTGAGTCTTGTGTATACTATTTATTTTTAAATCCAACATCAAGAATAGTATATGCCCAGATCACTAGCTATTGCTTCTAGTTTAAAGAAAAACGCTTTGTGAATTTCACGTTCAAGGAAGTTCTAATGTAATTTATGTTTACATTGTACAAATTTACACGATTATGTTCAATGTCCTTAGCTCATCTGTAGTTTTAAAGATATGTTTTAAAGTCCCCTCGTCAAATAATTACTTCTGACTGGTAAATATGTCATTTCTTACGAGTTTTACTCAATTGAGTAATGACTTCTGATTTCCCCTTAGTTATCAGTAACAAGAAATTTGATAAAGTATTATAGTAAGTCTATATTTAGGACCGTCAAACAGTACAATACGATATAAATTGACGATAATGTGTAACTCTACTATGTACATTACAAGTGAGTGAGAAAAATTATTCAAATGTTCTATACAACTTGGTAGATAATCGTAATTATTATTACTTCATATCATACTGTTGCTATGCAAATTTGGTGAAATAGCGACTTCTTATGAGATGAATTGATTACAGTAAGCATTCACTTACTACATAAATCTACAACCTAGTGCTATATTATCTTGATTTTAGTTTGAATAATGAAGCGAAAATAATAATAAGGAACTGAAAAAATTATGTTGAAAGGAACTTAAATGACATTAACAAAAACTAGAAAATAAATGAACAGGAAACGAAAATGTAGTCAAGACTTGGTGAAAAATAAAAAAGGAAATGCATATGCGCTCCACACTGATATAATAAAGCAGGAAATTCCCGACAAAATTAAGGGAACAAATTTAGTCAGTCAGCTACAACTTAGGACCAGGCACATATATGCATTGGTCTAAGTTGCTGTACCTTGTTACTACATCAAGATGAACACCGAATTCTTACAAGTAGTTACCACAGTTATAGTAATATGTAAAAAAGAGTGCATATAAGAATATAATACAGAGAGAAAGAACTAATTCGTAGAAGGAAAGTTACAAAGTAACTTTAATCTCCCAATGAAAGGAAAGACATAGAGTGCATACACCTACGCCATTGTGATCGGTTCTCATTCATGTCAACGAGAATCTCCAATCACTGGTTACGAAAGCCCCACAGACCCCAACCAGCTAGTCTGCATCTGCCAACATGGCTCAAACCAGAGGTTAGTGACTACATGCACTGGTGCCACGTTTTGGTTTGGCCGCCCCTAACCTTCAACGATCACTAACATCAGTCAGCATTGCACGTCATGGTAATCAGTGTTCAGGCATATGAAACACGTGGCTCAACCATCTCAGTCGATTTACCATTTTTCCCTAAACCCTGTGTCTAACCTCACTATTACTTACCCGGTGATCCCAGCAGATGCCAGAAATATTTCTAAGGCATTTGTGGTCAAATACTAGTAGCTTACGAGTATCTTCAACTCTTAATGGCCACGTTTCACAGCCTTAAATAAGAACAGAGTGAACTGCCATGAAGTACATCCGTTCATTAATTGATAGACGGATATTTCGCCTTCGCCATAGGTTACGTAAGTTAACAAAAGCCAAATGAGCAGAGATTTTGTCATACAACAACCGATTAGGGCTGACGAGACTTCCAAGCTAAGTGAAATTGTCGACGCGTTTGACTACTTCACCCCTTATCCTTAGTTCAGGTGTTGACAGAGGCCAGTAGTGAAGCAACAATTTGCATTTAGGGGGGCTGAAATGCATTCCGAATAAATTATTCTCTTGATAAATTGAAAGTTAATTGTTATGCTTATCTGGTCAATATAAGATTTATTAACTTAGGTCATATATCCATTGTTATTTCCGCTAAATTATAATGGAAACTTCAGATAAACTTTGAAAACAACTTTTAAATACTAAATAAAAAAATGAAAGGATACTTAAAATTAACAATTACCTAAAATTGCCTTCTTGTTTCTGACGTTCAAATGAAGCACGCGAACTCCAAGAGGCGAGGAATCGCGAAATTATTGCAAATATAATGAATAGGATATAAGCTGAGACTGGACCTAACCAACCAGCTCTGGAATAAAACATATTAACTGGGAAATCAAAATACATTACTTTTGTACACATAGATATGTATAGAATACGACTAATATTGGATTCACAGTTATTGATACAATTATATTGGTCAGCAGGTCACAAGCTAAATTGATATCTTGAGTAAGACGTTGATCACTACAAGGAAATATTTTAATGATCAATCAAGTTAAAAACAAGGAGAGGGGAAGACACAAACTTACGGGTTGTCTAAATCAGTAAGAGTATTTACAACATAGTAATTTTTCCGTTTAAAATATAGCCTTTGTAAATTCTTGGTTAAAATTTCACGTAATATTAACGATAATTGTCCCACAACCATATTTTGTACACCTAGAGCCTAATTGGAGAACAAAAACGCAAATTTTTTAAACTCAATGTCAACAATGATCACCGTGAAAAGTAGAAAAGTTGACTTAGTAATTACTTTATCAGACGGAGAAATAACAGGTATCTGTTTTAGTAATATCTTATGTCAAGCAAACTATGTCCAGGTTTTTAAGACGATATAAAATGTGAAGGTAAAAGTGAGAAACCTGTGAGTATTCGATAACTAACAATTTCAACACTTCAATCAAGCACGAAATAACTTCCAAATTAAGAATAGTTCAACACGTTTATAATCCTGCACATTGTCAACCATGCTTTGACGGAAGAGTTAACGTAGATAAGGCTTTAAAATAGCAAGACAATGTTATTCATATTAACAATTCGAGCTCTGTAGAAAATCATGCATTCGTTAATTAATAGTTTGATATTTAGAAGCAAAATGGTTAAAAATTGACCCGTCTCAAAACTATACTCGTTAGTTTTTTACTAAATCTTGATAATCATATCTCCAATCTACTGAGTACTAACCTATACATTTAGAGTGGTATTCGATTTCGATTTTGGGTGTCGATCAGTAGAAAAGGTCGTTGTGGACATTTGTACTTATATAAATATTTATCACAATGGCAAAATTGTCATCAAAATTTATAAACCGCTTTAATAGGTAAATCGATTTTATCCAGCCCTACTGCAAAAGACAGTATTACTAAGTTACCTATGTCACTTTTCACGTCACTTTTATCCTTTAAGCCATTTCTCAAACCACGATATTGTACGTTGTACCAAGTAAACTTGAAGCACTATTACATCAAATACTATGTTGATTAATTCTGTGATGTTTCAATCACTATAGTGAGTGCTATGTAAAACAAAATCATAATAATCAGTATAACAGCGCTAGATATAACTTACCAAAGAGCCACAAAATATATACATTATTGATAATTTTAAAGTCCATATAAATCTGTCATAATTTTTGGTAGTCAAAGCATCAAAAAAGTTGGAGGATATCAATCCGATTTGATAAGCAGAATATTCATCTGTCGAAAACAAGATGATTATTGTTATTTTTGTTTCTTTCTACACTTACAAAAACCAGTAACAATTATTAGTAGGAGCAGAAAAATTAATGGGGTAAGAAATTCTCTTTTTAATTGTCTACCAAGATATTTGATAAACTGGATAGAAAAGTGAAGTCCAAAAATGATACTATACGAAAACAAAATCCAAAGGATAATTATTTTCAACAATGAATGATACCTTTCTTGAGTTTTATTCATTTAATATCATGAAACGTAAAGGCAAACAATATGATTACCTAAAAGTGAAAATCAACATAATTAAATGAGGATCAGCCAATATTAAACCATAAATTTACCGACTGTCATGTCACAAGAAAGTTAGAAAGGAGCATTAGTAAGCTTGTATTACTTAAAGAACAAGTCGAGAAGGGTAGGTTGGTTTAAAATGTAGAGGCTGTAGTATGAACTAAGTATGGTTTATGGGAACTTTTGCCAGTGTACATTGCTTCAAACTGACTAGGTTTATAATATAACTCTGGTAGAATATTTGTACTATACACGTGAAGCTTATAGTATAAGGCAATATGAAAGCAGCTAAGTGGTAGAATATGAATTTTTGGGTAATCTTTCGGATTTATAGTGAGCAATCAGATTGCTAACCATACCAAAAATAGTGCAAGTTAACGAAATCTAAACGAATGATCCATAACTCTGCCTCAGTGTTACCAGACACTTTACTTACTTACTTACTTACTTACGCCTGTTACTCCTCGTGAAGGAGCATAGGCCGCTCACCAGCATTCTCCATCCAACCCTGTCCTGGGCAATCCTTTCCAGCTCCTTCCAGTTGTAATTCATCCTTTTCATATCTGCTTCTATTATCCGACGTAATGTGTTCTTTGGCCTTCCTCTTTTCCGCTTCCCTTCAGGATTCCAAGTTAGGGCTTGCCTCGTGATGCAGTTTGACGATTTGCGTAATGTATGTCCTATCCATTTCCATCGTCTTTTCCTAATTTCTTCTTCAGCTGGAAGTTGGTTTGTTCTCTCCCACAGAAGGCTATTGCTGATGGTATCCGGCCAATGGATGTTGAGTATCTTGCGTAGACAGCTATTTATAAATACTTGTACTTTCTTGATTGTGGTTGTTGTAGTTCTCCAAGTTTCAGCTCCATACAGTAGAACTGCCTTGACGTTCGTATTGAAGATTCTCACTTTGATATTGGTTGAAAGTTGTTTTGAGTTCCATATGTTCTTCAATTGTAGGAATGCGGCTCTTGCTTTACCAATCCTCGCCTTTACGTCTGCATCTGAACCTCCTTGTTCATCGATGATGCTTCCCAGGTATGTGAAGGATTCTACATCTTCCAGAGTTTCGCCATCAAGAGTGATTGGATTGCTGTTCTCCGCTTTGAATTTGAGGACCTTAGTTTTCCCTTTGTGTATGCTGAGGCCTACTGATGCAGAGACTGCTGCTACACTGGCTGTCTTCATCTGCATCTGTTCGTGTGTACGTGATAGGAGGGCTAGGTCATCTGCGAAGTCCAAATCGTCTAATTGGTTCTGAGCTGTCCATTGTATTCCGTGTTTTCCTTCAGATGTCGAGGTCTTCATAATCCAGTCGACCACCAGAAGAAAGAGGAAGGGAGAGAGTAAACAGCCTTGTCTGACTCCGGTCCTTACTTGGAATGCATCTGTCAGCTGTCCTCCATGCACTACTTTGCACTGTAGTCCGTCGTATGAGTTCCGGATAATATTGACAATCTTCTCAGGAACTCCGTAGTGTCGAAGAAGTTTCCATAATGTCCTCCTATCTACACTGTCGAATGCCTTTTCATAATCAATGAAGTTGATGTATAGTGACGAGTTCCACTCAACTGATTGTTCGACGATGATCCGTAGTGTTGCAATTTGGTCTGTGCACGACCGATCCTTACGGAATCCAGCTTGTTGATCTCGAAGTTGGGCGTCTACTGCATCCTTCATCCGGTTCAGCAACACTCTGTTGAAGACTTTCCCTGGTATTGACAGTAGTGTTATGCCTCTGTAGTTTTCACATTTGCTCAGATCTCCTTTCTTTGGAATCTTGACGAGGTGTCCTTCTTTCCAGTCCATCGGCACTTGTTCCTCCTCCCAAATCTTTTTGAATAGAAGGTAAAGCATGCTTGTGGTTACTTCGATGTCTGATTTCAGTGCTTCAGCTGGTATGTTGTCGGGTCCTGCTGCTTTCCCGTTCTTGATTTGTCTGACGGCCATTCTAATTTCTTCCGTCGTTGGTGGGTTGACATCTATAGGAAGATCTATGTGTGCTGCTTCGATGTCGGTGGATTCATTGGAGCCGGCCTATTCAGGAGTTCCTCGAAGTATTCTACCCATCTGTTACGCTGTTGTTGAATTTCAGTGATTGGCTTGCCTTCTTTGTCTTTGACCGGCCTCTCTGGTTTACTGTATTTCCCTGCTAGTTTCTTCGTTGTATCGTAAAGTGTTTCATATTTCCTTCTCTAGCAGCTTTTTCTGCCGTCGTTGCTAGTTCTTCCACGTATTTCTTCTTGTCGGCTCTAATGCTCCTCTTCACTTGCTTGTTTGCTTCTATGTATTCAGCTTGTGCTTGGACTTTCTCTGCTCGTGTTCGGCTGTTGTTTATTGCTGCCTTCTTGTTCTTCCTTTCTTTGATCTTGTCCAGTGTTTCTGTAGAGATCCATTCCTTATGATGGTATTTCTTTAGACCGAGAACCTCTTGACACGTTGAAGTTAATGCTTCCTTGATGCTTTCCAGTTGTCCTCCATAGTAGTTTCTTCTTCTTTCAGTAGATCTTGTAAGGCTTGGAACCTGTTGTTGAGAGCTATCTTGAATTCATTGAGTTTGACAGTATCTCGAAGGAAGGCTGTATTGAACCTTTGTATTGCTGTTTGTCCACTTGTCCAGTTCTTTTTTAGCTTCAGTTTTAAATTGGCTACAACTAGGTGGTGATCTGAAGCTACGTCAGCTCCTCTCCTGGTTCTCACATCTTCCATTGTCCTTCGGAATTTTTTGTTGATGCAAATATGATCTATCTGGTTCTCTGTAGTGTGGTCCGGTGAGATCCATGTAGCCTTGTGTATACGCTTGTGTGGAAATATTGTGCCTCCTATGACCAATTTGTTGAATGCACACAAATTTGCAAATCTTTCTCCATTTTCGTTTCTCTCTCCCAGTCCATGTCGTCCCATAATATCTTCATATCCAGTGTTGTCTATTCCGACTTTGGCATTTAGATCTCCCATTAGAATGGTGAGGTCCTTTCTTGGGCATTTCTCAATGATTGACTGCAGCCGCTCGTAGAACTGATCTTTAATGTCGTCGTTGCTATCATTGGTGGGTGCATAACATTGGATAATATTCATTAAGATCCCCTCCTTCTTTGTTTTGAATGATGCTTTGATGATTCTGGATCCGTGGGATTCCCATCCTACAAGTGCATTTCGTGCTACTTTGGACAGCATTAGAGCAACTCCCTGAGTGTGTGGAGCATTGTCCTCTTCGTGACCGGAGTATAGCAGCATCTCTCCCGTAGCTAGCCTTTTCTGTCCAGCTTGGGTCCAGTGGGTTTCGCTGATTCCCAGTACTGCTAAGTTGTATCTCCTCATTTCCATTGCTATTTGACTGGTCTTCCCGGTTTCCCACATTGTTCGAACGTTCCATGTACCTATAAAAATTTTTGCTCTGGTTGTTAGAAGGGGCATCGGCCTCGTGGCTTCCGAAGGAACTCGGCTTTCACCATGAAGCGTCATAATTCTTCTAAATGAAGACCTTCTAACTCTCAGGGCAGAGTTAAAATGGTTTGGATTATTTTTTCTGGTAAGCGTTTTTTTAGCGAGTTAGTTTTCTACGGGATGGGGACGCTAACCCCATGCCCAACCCTCCTCCTTTACCCGGGCTTGGGACCGGCAGTAACTCTAGAAGAGCTACAGGCGGAGTTGTTACCAGACACTAACGTAAGGCATATGAGGATCACAAATACATCGGTGTTAAACTATCTGATTACAACGTACGAGTGAAACACTTTTACAAAAGAATTACCGGCGCGACTATAATTTATGGACAAACCAATCAGATTTAGGATAACACGCCCAAGGTTTTAGAGCAAAATCTATTCATCTATTCGGCTAAAAAGCATTTTTTGCATACTGGCTGATGTCATCATTGATAAAAATACTAAATCCAATTCTTAACTCTAACCATCAACTTCAAAAATCATAATTCTTATTACTCACAGATTTATAGCCATTATTTAGTCCTAGTTAGTAGGTGGACATTCTAAAGGTCACTTTGGTGTCACTCAAAGGTTGTCCGCAAATAAATGTCTCACTCTTAGTGTTTACATTACGCTACGAGACCTTTAATAGTAACATATGAGAAAGCCAGTCAACAATTTTATGGTGTCAAACATACAAAGAATGGGGGGAGACGTTCAGTAGGTTGAAACGAAACGTTGCCAAAACCAAGAAAAATCGCTTTCTATTTCCTTTTAGTCATTCCAGTGCAATAACTAAATTGTCTGTGGTTATACATAATTCTTTACCAAAAAATTGATTGATTGTGTATTACGAACTTGAATACTGAGTTCGCAAACCAAATTCCGAATATACCAAGACCCAATCAGCCATTATTATGTAGGCTGAACATTATTGCTTTGGACCAAGTGGAGCCATGTAATTTACACTAAAGTGAGACCCAACAGTACTTATATCAACACACAGCTTTAAGGATTTTATAAAGAACAGGCGATAACCGTGTACATCTAAGTCCAAGTAACATGGATTCCAATTTCATTTTATTCACTCAGATATTTTAAACCTTCTGGTAAAAATTTAGTTACAAACTAAGTTATAACATTCAGATCATAAGTCGGATGACAGTAAAACCAAAAACGACAAACTGTTCGAAAAAGAGCATAATTCTAGCTAGTTTAAAACTTATAAATTACACTAGATACCTTGTCGTTCCTCGGCGCTTTCAGCCGGACGTAGCGCATCTGCAAGCAGATCACATTGAAATGTTAAGTCCCAAATTATAAAACGCTCTTCGCCGAAAACGAAACCTTCAGTGTACAATAAATAATATCAGTTTCAGTTTGGGAAGGACACGAGGCTCGATGGCCTATGTTAGTCCTGGCAATGGTGGTCTCTCAGTTGATCCAACTTTCTTTTGAAAGAGTCGACGGACGGAGCCTCAACCACGTGCTGAGGTAATGAATTCCACTCGTTGATGATTCGATGGA